GAAAGAAAGAAAGAAAGAAAGAAAGAAAGAAAGAAAGAAAGAAAGAATGTGCTGTGGTACATGCCTCGAAGAGTGGCAAGGACTGTTGTGGTCTGCAGTGTCTGTGAAGTGCACAGTTTTGTGATAATGGAAGGGTTCAGTCTGAATATGCCCCAGGCAAGGAGTCCTTTGATTTAGAGTATATTAACTCCACGCTTCAGAGCCAAAGAAGTGAAGAAAATCTGATGACAGTTTCCAGGAGAGATGCTCAGCCACTGATTTCCCCACCTTCAGCAACTCTCAAAGTGTGGACTGGTCCTTCTGGCAAAGTAGTCACAAAGATTCAAGACCAGTCATGAAAAAAAAAATGAAATTTTATTTACCGCTGTTTCACAAATCGCAACTTAGAAGCTCAAATATGTGAACTTTCCAACAGAACAGTGATATTCCAGAACCTTCTATAGCACTGAACAATGAAAACAAATGACCCTTCAAAGTTTAGCATTTAGGCCAACATATAATCAAGTGCCTTCAACAGAATGTTAGCGTGTGAACCTCAAAGATGCAGCTAAGGTAAAATGGCATCAGATCACAGGCAATTAAATATTAAACTGCAAGTAAGTTTTCCAACTTTATAAACAAATGCCTGTATACATTGCTTAAATGTTTATTCATTCTTAAAAACAAGAATTGGTGAAAATTTTCATGAGATCATTGTCATAGGGAGATTGGCTGCTAATGCTGGATGAAGGGGCACAGGGCTGAACAATCTCTTGACACAGTAGCTCGCTCCTGGGGTGAAGCCACTGCTGGCTGCATCTTTGGAGGGAGTTTCCGAGAAGCCCATTCTCATCTGCTTCATGACAGCTGGTGGTCTCCAAAGTAGGGTTGGGAGTGCTGTCATCTCACCTGCACTAAGCTGCAAACATTATCTCTCTGGTACCATGGCTGTAGTCATATCCCAGATGCTGTGTGACTGCTCAGGCAAAAGTCCAGAAAGCAACATTTACCACACCCTGAAGCTAATGAGTACTGTCAGAAATACTAGTGGGCACATTGTCATATTGCCAAGGACAAAAAATCCTGTCCTGTCATTGTGTGAACTGCTGCAAATAACTGGCAACAGAATCCAAACAGCACACGTACTTGTGATGCTCCAAAATATCTATGTTAAGGCACAAAGTTATTAAATCTGGTGCCCATGACACTGTACTCCTTGGCTACTATCTACTACAACTCACCAAAGTGGATACATCACCCCACATCCAGTACTCTCTAGTTCCCCCAAACGGTCAACAGGCAGCCAGGTATCTTACAATGCTGGGTCTTTCCAGATTGTTTTGAGTGCTTGGGTCTGCACTGCTGCCTGGAACAGAAGAGTGGGGTGATGCTGAGGTTATGGTTTTGGGCAAGGAGTGGCAAAGAAGTGGCATTTAGTGCTGGGAAAGCATATGGTCTCTCCCTCACACCTAATCAGAGTCTACATAATGACCATTTCCCCCAGAGCTGCTCTTTTTCCACCACCCCATCTTGCCCTTTCTTCTGCTTCATTTCCTCCAACAACTCCCTCCTCTGGGACTGGGTGTTTTGGTTTTAGTGACCTGTGAAAACAAACAGAATGAAGTTAGAATAATTGAGCACCTCGTTCCTTGCATTATCTATTCCACATATTTGAAACTGTATCCTTGATTTGAAACAAAGTGAAGCCACAGGACAAGTCCAGAAGTTTGAACCCACCTCATTACAGCTCAATGTCACCAAACATAGCTTATAACTCAGATCATGACTCACAAGATGAAGGCCTCTTTCCTCATCAGATATCATTACTCTCAGATACAAAATTCCCTGTCGTATAATTTTCTTCTCCAACGCAGTGTCCTGCAAAGACAGTGAGAATATACATGAGCAGTACACTTCACTGACTTGCTGTGAGAAGAGAGTTAGAAATTTTAGGTACTGTCCTAGTCAGTTGCAAGGTAATTAAGGAGTTCAGCAGGTATGCATAGCCACATCCTCCCTTTGCAGGTTGTTGCTACCTGGTAGACAAAATAAAACAATACTTCAAAAAAAAAAAAAAAATTCAGCTAAAGTGACATGTCAACTCCAGGTTTTGCCCAGAGTAAAATGGACAGAAGTAGCTCTACAGATGCCATTTGGAATCTGTATTTTAAAGATCTGTCACCTGGCAATACTGAAAAGACAACACCTGATTACTTCCCAAACAAACATTTGAAAATTGATGTCCAGGTCTGATCTTTGAAAGGGAGATGAAGAACATCTTACCTCTCCAGCCCTGACCAGATAGATGAATTGTTTAACAATATTATTCAGGAATCTGAAAGTTGGGATGGATAGATCACAAATTCGAAAGGTAGTCAAGACCGTCATTCAGGAACCTGGACTAAATTTATAGGGAGAAGCAACTTTACTGCCACTAGGCAGCTAGCCCCTCCTCAGCTAAATTTCTTCCAAAGGCACCTAGCAGATCTCTTGCAAGGGAATTGCTAACCTCCTCCTCGGTGGATTTCGCTGCAAAGAGAGAGAGATAAACATTAAGACACGGGAAATAATTTTTAAAGTAATTTTTAATTGAACGAGACTGAAAAGGGGAATCCTATTCCACTTACCACAATTCCCAAGCCTCACCTTTGGTCTTGATTTGATATAATCTTGATATGGTGCCACCTACGTTCTCCAGGGCCCTCAGTTAGTTACATCTCTTCCAAGTTTGTTGCTTCATATGTTGCAGCACGTGTCAAAGATTAATTGGAAATTGCACTGCAAGTTGTTGTCATTGTGAACAGCGTGAAGACTGGCACAAATTGACTCAAATTGCCATTTATGCCAGTCCAGAGAATTCCAGGCCTACAAAGCCATTAAAATGGCAAATTACACAGCCACTAGATGGAGCTGATACAGCTTTATGCAAAGATTTTAGAATTTTTATCAGACAACATAAAAACACTGTATAGAATATATAAACTACAGATCCAATAATATGATGTATAATCCCTTGGGCAACAAACATTTTGTGAATTAGGGATTCTGTTTTATCCATCATCATAACCCAGTCCATACTGACTTTTACACATCAGCATACTAGCAATCGATACTGAAAATATTTAGCTCAAAATAGCATTGCAAATTAAAAATAAAGCTTCATTAAGCCTTAATATGAAGATCAGGAAAAGCATTATACCTTTTTTGTGAAAGATAGCATTAAGAAACTTGTCTGCTTGGCATTCAAGTTGTTCAGTGTGGGACTGCCCCTGAGATAAAGATTCCTCAGTAGATATCAGTGTTGTAGGCACACTCAGAGACGAAATATGGTCCTAGAAAGTCGAATTGTGTAGAGAAATTTTTGAAAATAATCCAAAGAAGCAAAAAAAGTTACATTTAAAATACTGAATTCAGAATACAGGCACAATATCTCAAATCCAACAAATTCAGGACCCCAAGGCTGTGCCAGATTGCATGCTGGCAAATTAGGTGGTGGGCATTTCAGTCAAGTCAGGCCAGGTAGGTTCAAATGACCTTGTGTGTGCCAAAGGGTGGCACAAAGCAGGTAACCAGCCCAAGCGACACTGCACAAATGCAGTGTCTGTTCAAATTGCCAAGCTAAGTTTTTTTTTAACAAGTGTTATTTCATTAACATTGATGCATAGAAAGTTATTTTTAAAAAGGTGTCCAATATTTGGACAGCCAGATTTGAGATATTAGCTGTACTGAAAACAAGTGCTAATGATCAACATTATTAACTGGCACCTATGAGATTACGACTGTACCAGTTGATCAAAAAATTCCAGATAATCAAGAGGTCCACAAAACCAATGTAGAAACACACCTTAAGTAATAGATACAGAATGCTGGGGGGGTTGGGGGTTGGGGAGAAGGGGAAATACATGTCACTGCTACACTTTACTCACAGCATACATCACTTAAATGATGCAACTTTGCCTTAAATAAAAAAAAACTTACCAGAGTGCCTTCTCACTCGCACCCTCAATTGACTAATCTGGCATCACGGTAGATCTCAGTATTTGAGTAGAAATTAACTTGAAATTGAATCAACCATTGACATTTCATATGGCCATTCAATTTAACAAGTATATTTAGTAAGGTAAATAGATTTAAAAATATTGCTCTAAATAACAGTAAACTTTTCTGTATTTGAGGGTATATAATTGTTTTCAGTTTATAGCATGCATCAATTAAAACAAAATTTTCCTTACAAAACTAAAAGATCGCCAATTCCCAAATTAGGATAAGTTTACAATTATGAATTTATACCTAAACTTTTTTTAAATTTTATGTTAGGCATATAAAAACATCTCTCATTCTAGACTGATTGGTCTGTTGTTTTCTGGTTTATACCATTTTTGATACAGATTGCTATTAGATTGCTAACCATTCAGTCCTCCAAAGACTTACTAGTGAAAATCTAAGAATATTTGAAAGAATGATCAAAACTTCAGTATTTCCTCTTTGACTTTGTGCACTTTAGGGTACATGCCATCATGGCTTGTTGCTTTTTCCACTTTTAAGCTTTAATCTTTCAATTCTACTTCTTTACCTAAAATCTATCCCAATGCTCCACACCTACCCTTTTTCAGCCTACATTGCCATAACCATAGTTGATGAATGCTTAATATGACCAATACTCCTGGTTCCCCACATCCAAATTGTTCTACATCATTAACATTTTCTTGTTCCTCTTATGACTTACCAGTGTTTGCTCATACCTCCTTTCAAAGTTCTTTTTAGTTTCTAATTTTTATATTTTGTTTTTTGTTGATTTTTTGCTGAAACTTCATTACTCATCCGAGGCACGACAATCTTTATTGAAGACCTTTTCATTAGCAAAGGTGCTATCTACCCCATCTCACGTTTCCATCTTTAAGGTCAGAAAGATGCAACTAGTGGAGTACCACAAGGTTCAATCCTCGGGTCTCACTGGAGGAGTAAGCAGAGCAAAATGTATCCAAATTTTCTAGAGACAAAATAGATGGGAATTCATGTGTTGAGAACATAGGGAATCTTCTGGGGGATATGGATAAGTTGAATGTGCACACAAAAAACCTGGCAGATGGAATTTAACGGAGTAAAGTGTGGGGATGTGCATGTTTGTAGGGGGGGGAAATCAAAAGGCAGACTACTATTTATGTGGAAAGAGATCACAGTCATTGACTGTGTCCTCTCTTTCAAATTTTAAGTTGGATTTAGTTATGTTGTGGTCACTATTCTCTACAAGTTTCCCACAGTCCTTCCATTTCCCAGACTAGGCTCAGCATTTTCTTTTGTACAGACTAAAAGTGCACTTCCTGGATAAGTATGGAACTTCTTCCCCTTCTTTATCACTCACATTATGCAAATAGAGTTACGGATGTACAGCACGGAAATAGACCCTTTGGTTCAACTCGCCCATGCCAACCAAATATTCTAAAATGGGACTCTTAATTATTAGCATTTGGCTCATATCCCTCTCTACCCTTCCTATTCACCTACCCATCTAGATGCCTTTTCAATGTTGCAAGCGTACCACCAACAACAGCTCACGCCACACACTTACTACCCTCTGCGTGTAAAAGTTGCCCTGCAGGTCGCCTTTAAATCTTTCCCCTCTCACCTTAAAGTTGCGGACTACCCTACCCTGGGGGAAAAAAGACTTTGGCTATTCCCCTATCCATGTCCCTCATGAATTTATAAACTTATGTACGGTCAACCCTTAGCCGCCAACGCTCTAGGGATAACAGCCCCAGTCTATTCTGCCTCTTCCTTAGCTCAAACCCTCCAAACCCTGCCAACTTGCAATTCTTTTCTGAAGCCTTTCAAGTTTCACATCTTTCCTATAGCCAGGAGACCAGAATTGCACGCAGTATTCCAAAAGTGGCCTCACCAATGTCCTGGACAGCCGCAAACGTGACCTTTCAACTCCTACACTCAAAGCACTGACCAATAAAGACAAGTGTACCAAACGTCTTCTTCATTATCCTGTCTACCTGCAACTCCACTTTCAAGAAACTATGAACCTGCTCTCCAAGTCTCTTTGATCAATAAAACTCTCCAGGGCCCTATCATTAAAATCCTGCCCTGATTTGCCTTACCAAAACATAGCACCACCTCACATTTAGATTAAACTCCATCTGCCACTCCTAAGACCATCAGCCTATCTGATCAAGATCCTATTGTACACAGATAACCTTCTTCGTTATATACTACACAATTTTGGTGTCATCTGCAAACTTACCAACCTTGCCTCCTATACTCGCATCCAAATCATTTATATAAATTACAAAAAGCAGTGGACCCAGCACTGATCTGTGGTACACCACAGGTCGCAGGCCTCCAGTCCAAAAGCAACCTCCACCACTACCCTGTCTCCTATCTTCTAGCCAATTTTGTATCCAAATGGCTTGTTCAAACCTTGTTAAGCAGTCTACCATGTTGAATGCCTTATCCATTGATACCTTCAATCCTCTTTGTCACTTCTAAAAACTCAATCAAGTTAGTGCAAAACAATTTCCCATACAAAAAGCTACTGTGACTATCCTCAATTAGTCCTTGCCTTTCACCCCTTATTTCATAGTGTATCATGAAATTAAGTTTCAGATTCACAATTGTACAGATGGATTGGAGATGTTCCCACAGAAAAAGTCAAGAAAAAGGGTGTAGAAGTTACTGAAATTTTACCATTCTGCAAGACTGAAGTCAACTTTAAGGCAAAAGTAGTGAGATCAAGTTAGACTCAAATGCTGAAAAATATAGTCACAATAGTTGAAACCAGTTGGTTCATGAGAACCTGTATCCAAAATAAGAATCCACTGTCAACTACCTTTAACATTATACATTTTCACCAGAGGACAAAACGGCATTTGTTACAATCACAAATGCCATACAGGTTATGGTTGAGGCAACAAAATACCAAACTTTAGTATTCAAAATGTTGCCGATTGATATAAACATCAAAAAAGAAATGACGGATGCTGAGAACAGTAGGTATAAGTCAAAGGGTAAAGTAGCACATTATTTGTGCATTAAAAAAAGTATTGACTGCAGTAGTCAAAAATTAGGAGTATTTTCAAATTCTGGACGTTCACAATTCAACAATATTAGCCTATGTTCATAAAGTGCACCATAAACTAGACAAGTTTAGGAAAGATAACCAAACAAAACAGTCCAGAATAACTTAGGAGTAGGCCATTCGCCCCTTTGGGCCTGCTCCAACATTTGACAACGTCAGTTTGTAGTCTCAACTCTGCTTTCCTGTCTGCCCATTCCATAACTCTCAACTCCCTTGGCCATCAAAAAACCAATTTGCATAGTCATAAATAAAATCTGATAGATCCTCCTCCTTTGGAGGTTGTTAAAAAAATTACAAAAGATACAGACAGGTTAAGTGAGTGGCATTGATCTGGCAAACAGAGCACAATGTGGAAAAATGTGCAATTACTCATTTAAGAGGAAGAACAAAAAAAACATACATTATCCAAATGGTGGGAGATTACAGAGCTCTGATATGCAGCATCCAGTTTGCCTGATGCACGAATCACAAAAGGCTAGTGTGCAGGTACAACAAATAATCAGGAAAGCTAACAGAATGTTATCATTTATTGCAAAGGAATTTGTATAAGCAAGTAGGGAGGCTATGCTTCAGTTATACAGACGTTGGTGAGACGCGACAAAGGGTTTCAACCTGAAACGTTGACTTTCCTGCTCCTCTGATACGGTCTGACCTGCTATGCTTTTCCAGCTTCATGCCTATAGACACTGGTGAGGCCACATCTGGAACACAGCTTATAAAATTGGTCCAGAGATAATGGGAACTGCCAATGCTGGAGAATCTGAGATAACAAGGTGTAGAGCTGGATGAACACAGCAGGCCAAGCAGCAGACGAGCAGGAAAGTCATTTTCTGAAGAAGGGTCCAGACCCGAAACGTCAGCTTTCCTGCTCGGCCTGCTGTGTTCATCCAGCTCTACACCTTATCTCTCATAAAATTGGTCACCTTATTTAAAATGAGGATGTAAAATGATGGAAGTAATTCAGAGAGGTTCACCAGACAAATACTTGAAATGGATGGGGTGCCTTATTAGGCAAGGGTGGGCAGAAAGGGTATGTATCCACGAGTCTAGAAGAGTCATAGCTGATAATCAAGGAACCAGATCCTAAAAGAGGATGTCTCCTCTTCATGAATCTAGAACCAGGGTCACTGCTTAAAAAGTCACCCATTTAAAAGAAATAACAAGATGAACTTTTTCCTCACAGTGTCACACAATACCAGGTTATAACCCAACAGGTTTATTTGAAAACACAAGCTTTCAGAGACTCACTCCTAACACCTGAAGGAGCGAGGTTCCAAAAGCTTGTGTTTTCAAATAAACCTGTTGGACTATAACCTTGTCTCATGTGACTTCTGACCCAGCCCATCCAAACCAACACTGGCACTTCCACATCTTTCTGTAAAAGCAGGGGAACCAGAGTCTCTGAATACTTTTAAGGGAGGGGTTGATAAATTCTTTAAAGCAACAGGGTGACAAGGTTACCAGGGATCAGCAGAAATGTGGATTTGTGGTTATAATTAGATTGGCCATTACCTTAAATGGTGGAACAGGCTCGAGGGGCTGAATGACTATTGCGTTTATTCACATGATCTAAGGAACAAAAATTCCAAAGATCAACCATCCTCAGCAAGATGGAAAGAGAGACCTTTTATTCTTAAAGTGTATCCTCTAGCTCTGGTCTCCCAAGAGGAAACATCCTCTCTGCATCCACCCTATCGATAGCCATAAGTACCATACTTGCATGGTATTTATTGTTTCTTCTGAACACCAGTGAGCCTGCACAGAACATGGTCACCTTTTTCCTGATAATGCCTTCATTTTGAATCTGAGCTGCTTCTAGTATAATGATATCCTTTTTTCCCAAAAAAGAAAAGTAGGAGACAACACATTAGACATGGACTCACCACAGTCCTGTAGAGCTATAGTACAACGTCTCTACTTTTATATTTAATTTCTCTTGAAATATACATCAACAGACCATTGGTGTTTCTGACTACCAGTTGTATCTGCATATTAATTTTTAGTGATTCATGTAGCAAGACACTCAAATTTTTCTGTAACAGTGAGTTCTGCAATCTATATAAATAGTTTTCATCCTCGTAAAGTGGACAGGTTCACATTTTCAAACTATTACACTCCAATTATGAAATTGTTTGCCCATTTCTTTGTCCACCTGCTTTTTGAGATGCTCTTCTTTATAGGTTTTGCACTTACCTTTACTTTTTCTCTCCTTATGTGGCAAAATGAACAGTTTTCATTCATAGACCAGTCAGTCACTTCTTCAGGTTCACAGTCTTCAAACAAAATAAGTGCAAAAATGCTTTAATGATTCACCAGAAACCAAATATAATTTCTGTAATTACTAAAAACATTAATGATATTTAGTCAAGAAAAAAACAGCAATCCTGCAGCACTATTAGCCTTAACGCAAGCATGCTTTTTTAAATATTTTCCCAAATGAACCAGACCTACAATGTCTTAAATTACAATCAAAATTGACAAGAGGGAAAATTGCAATTAATACAATGTTTGGGTCAGTGTCAATGCCAGTGAAGTACTAGAAGAAGTTTCTTAATCACTCCTTTCCAAAAAACTGATAGATAGCAGCACAAAAATTCTCTGAAATAGAAGTGTACTTATTGGCTTAGAATGTCCAAGAAACAGTACAATGTAAAACTTATACAGCAAATCACACAACTTAGTTCTCCGATCTGTTAAAATTAATTTTCTATGAAATCTTGGTCAGCAAATACATCATACCGAGCTTAAACGTGGATCAGAAACCTCAGTAATACAGCCAACACCTTACCAACCATACAGCTGGCAACTTCAGAAAAGAGGCCTATATAAAACATTGGTTTGGTTTTACGAGGCAAGTGGCCAATCTGTTAAACTTTTGTTAAATTTATTCATGGATGTGGGTGCCACTAGCTTGACCAGAATTTATTGCCCTTCCCCAATTACACTGAGGGCATTTAAGAGTCAACCATATTGATCACATGTGGGCCATACCAGGTAAGGACAGCAGATTTCCTTTCCTAAGCAACGTTAGTGAACCAACTGAATTTACCCCTGACAAATCAACATAAATTTCATGGTCATTAGACTCTTCCTTGCAGATTAGTAATAAGTTCAAAATCTATCATATGCCATGGCAGGATTTGAACCCAAATCCCCAGAACATTATCTGGGTCTCTGGATTAATAGTCTAGCAATAACACCACCAGGCCATGGCTATCCCCGAATGACCTAATTGCAATCACAAACATACAACTGAAGATCAAAAGGCAGCATTTCCTAGGACTCTTGACTTCTCTCTCTGTTTCTGTCCCAGCTATACGAGAAAGACCACACAATTCAGGGCCAATGCCTACCAAAATTGCAAACAGCAGCTCGATGGAAACAGACTATGAGGAATCAATCAACACGTATCTTAGGCATATAACCAAGCAAGGCTCAGCCAGATCCAGAGATGAAGGTTGGTTTCAACAGACATTAGGGGGCCTTCTGCTAGCGCCTGTTTCACCTAGCTCCTTCTCAGTCATACTTCTTAGCAAAAATTCGATATTATACACTTGGCAAATTTGTGTTTGTTTGAGTGGGTCAAAAGTTCAAGACAATTTGCTGTTGAAGTAAGAATCATGAAAAAATCCACTTACTGTTGTCACAAGAAGATTTTTGCATGGACAAAATCTTTCGCATCCAGATAATTAGTTGCCTTACCACAACTGCTAGCTCTTTATATAATGGGCACACTTTTTATAACACTCTTGATGAGGCTCAAACACAATGGAGAGTGTGGTAACCCCAAGGATGTTGACAGTGGGGGATTCAGAGATGATAACACCACTCAAAGTCAGGGGATGGTAGTTAGATCATCTCTTACGGGAGATAGCCATTACCTGTGGCGCAAACATTACTTGCCACTTGTCATCACAAGCCTGGATAGTGTCCAGAACTTGCATTTGTTGCATTTGAAAATGGACTGCTTCAATATCTGAGGAATCGTAATGGTGCCGAATATTTTTGAATCATTGGTGAACATCTACACTTCTGACCTAATGGTGCTGTGAAGGTTCATTGGTAAGGCAGCTGAAAATGGTTAAGCCTAGGACACTACCCTGAGGAACTCCCTCAGCAATGTCCTGGAGCAGAGATAACTGACCTCCAACAACCAAATATTTTCTTACATGTCAGGTATGACTCCAACAAGTGGAAAGCTTGCTCCCAATACTCAATGATTCCAGGTTTGCTATGGCTCCTTAATGCCATACTCAGTCAAATGCAGCCTTGATGTCAAGGGCTGTCACTCCCATCACCTGTAGAATTCAGCTCTTTTGTCCATGTTTGAACCAAAGCTGCCGAGGTCAGTTAATTTGCAGGATACATTTTGTAAACAAGTTGGACATTAGTTGAGTTGTACTCTTTCCTGTTAACTACAGAAGGACTGGTTCCTTCAGCGAAGCCCTCAAAAGTAGACAGAGGTACTAACTTCATTATCAAAGTTAGGCATAATAAAACAAAAATAATCAGAACAGAAAGCCTCTGAACAATTTAGATAGTGATAAATCTGTCCTTTTAAGAAAGCATTAATACAATGATAGCATTGCTTGAGTATGAATTCTACATAACTCTACTGATTGATGTTAAGATTCAGGAATATCAAGATTGTCATGAACTCTAGACTGGTGGATATTAATTAAATGTCTGGTTCTAGAGTGCTACGGATGGGGCAACAAATTCTGGGAAGCTTTGCTGTGGCACATAGCAATGGTGTAATAATCACATGCCAGAAACTCAGACTGTCCAGGGAGGTATCCACCATGGCGTGGGATTCCAAAACATTTCAGGACATTTTTTCCCCCAAATCTAGACAGATGACAGAAACAGCTCAATATTTGAGGAATGCTTCAGTAATAGATGACCACTGAAATCAGATATCTTGAGTTGGGTAGATGGCAACGTGCAAGCCCACGAGATACACAAGTCTGGCCAGAAATTGCACTTGTAATCATAGAAACAAAGAAGATAGGAGCAGGAGGCCGCCATTCAGCCCTTCGAGCCTGATCCGCCATTCTTCGTGATTATGGCTGATCATCTGACTCAATAGCCTAATCCTGCTTTTTCTCCATAACCTGAGATCCCATTCACCTCAGGTGCCACATCTAGTCACCTCTTGAATACGTCCAATGTTTTGGCATCAAGTCATGGAGTCACACAGCATGGAAACAGACTCTGGTCCAACTCATCCACACAGACCAGACATTTCAATCTGACCTAGTCCCATTTGCCAGCATTTAGTCCATATCCTTCTAAATGCTTCCTATTCACATACCCATCCAGGTGAATTTTAAGTGTGTAATTGTACACGCCCGCACCACTTCCTTTTGCGGTTCGTTCCATACATGCAACACCCTCGCCATGAAAGAGTTACACCTCAGCTCCTTCTAAATCTTTCCCCTCACTTTAAACCTAAGCACTCTAGTTTTAGATTTCTCCACCCTAAGAAAAAAAAGACCTAGCTACTCATCCTATCAATGCCCCTCGATTTTATAAACCTCATCCTCCAATGCTCCACAGAAGAAAAGCCCCAGCCTATTCACAGTCTCTCCCTATAACTCAAACTCTCCAGTCCTGGCAACATCCTTGTAAATATTTTCTGCACTCTTTCAAGTTTAACAACATCCTTCCTAAAGAAGGGGACCAGAATTGTACACATTGTATTCCAGAAGAGGCCTCTCCAACAACCTGTACCGCCACAACATGATGTCCTAACTCCTTTACTCAATGCTCTGACCAAAGAACCAAGTGTGCCAAATGCCTTCTCACCCTGTTCACTTGTGACTTCACTTTCAAGGAACTATGCGCCCGCATCCCTAGGTCTGTTTGGCTACACTCCCCAGGGCCCTACCATTAAAGTCCTGTGCCGATTTGCCTTACCAAAATGTAAGGCCTCACATTTATCTAAATTAAAACTCCATTTGCGGCGACTCAGCCCACTACCCTATCTGGTTAGGGCCCCATTGTACAGAGAATCTTTTACTGTTCACTGTACCACCTATTTTGGTGTCATGTGCATTCTTATTATCCATACCTCCTATATTCACAAGCAAATCTTCTACATAAAAATGACAAAAAGCAGTGAACCCAGCACCAATCCTTGTGGCAAATCGCTGGTCACAGAGCTTCAGTCCAAAAATCCTTTACCACCACCCTGTCTCCTGCCTTCAAACCAATTTTGTATCCAATTAACTCCCCTGGATCCCACGTGGTCGAACCTTATTAACTAGTCTACCATGTGGAATGCTGAATGCTATGCTGAAGTCCATATAAACATCTACCGCTCTGCCTTCAATCTTCCTTGTGACTTCTTCAAAAAACTCAAGTTAGGTGAGACGGTTTCCCATGCACAAAGCCACTGCATATACAAAGGTTCAAACTCCCTGACTGCCTTTCAGCCACAGCATGCTATTCACTCATTAGGTGGCAGACTCAATTTGACACCTCACATTTTATGTATTGGTTCCTTTTAATTAGGTACTGCCTACTTGATCTGTTGTACAAGTTGTATGTGTACTGAAGTCTAAAAACATTCACGCAGAGCAAATCCTGAATATTGGACAAAAATGTCAGCTACGACTCCCACAACTTTTGTAAGATTGAGGTACCAAAGATCAACTTCTTTGAGAACGTAATCTTCAGGCTACAAAAGGAACAAATGGTTGATGACTGTGAATAAAGCCTTCTCGGCTTTTTCCACCAGATACTTGGCATTAATTTCTACACAAAAGCAATGCCATTGGGACTGCAGTTATGCATGCTAGAGCTTAAGTGACTATGACAATTAGATTACATACACATTTTCTTTAAGAATGCCAGTATTCTAATGGCAAAGGGTACAATTAAAGTTTTTTTTTCGAAAAAAAAAGTTCAATAATTTCACCTTTCCATATGCATTAAGGCACATATATGAGGATTAGCACTAGTTTCCAGAGATAACACCAACTGTACAATTGCTTACAATATGCCCTCCAAGAACAGATTTCTGGGGCTAATTGGCAAGTGAATAATTCATCTAATGAACAAAGGCCATTTTTTCATCTGTGCCTAATGGAAAATAGAGGCAATTTCGGCAAAACTAACAAAAATCTTTTAGTAATATTACAAAAGCATTGTTTTAAATGTCAGCTTTGCAGGAGTTTTTAAAAGATTAGTCAAGAGAGTATATAAAAGTTGCTTATATTGTGCCTTTAACGTAGTAAAATCTCCCCAGGTACTTGAACAGGATAATTAC